GTCTGGGGGGCTGCTGTACCCCAGACGATGTGTAATCCATATGTCATGAAGTATCTGTGGCAGATATACCAAAGCTGTGGGTTCCTGTTTGAAGAACTTGGAACCATACCCAGAGAGGGCTGGGCTTATTTCCATAATCTTGGAGGGCCTCCTCAGACAGAGTTGGGGATGGTAGGACGAGAAATGGGACCTTTGCTTCCACTGGAGACAGAGAGAGACCAGAAAGCAGGCTTGAGGCATGGGTGAAAAGGGCTTTGAGGCTAAACTGGGCAAGGGAACACAGTCCAAAATGGGATACACGTCCCAGGAAGTCGTTGGGACACAAGCTTAGCCCTCATGGGGGCCCAGAGCTCTGGCCATCCCAGAGGGGAACCCCATAGGAAGTGGTCACATGATGCAGCACTTCTCAGCTGATTGCTTGAGGTCTCCCAGTGTGGTTTGAGCCTTGTCCTTGAGTGAGCTGAGGTCCAAGCCAGGGAGGCTGGCCAGCTGCCCTAAGACCGAGGCCTTCTCTTCCTCCTCCTCTGTATCCTCCTCAATCATCTTGGCCAGCTCCCGGGGCAGCTCCACGTCTCCACCGGCCATCTGGATCTGGCTCTCATCTGTCTCATTCTGAAGGGAAGAAGGCAGGGGAAGGTGGAGGTCTATGAGTTCCCAGAGTTGAGGGGGCATGCAAACAAACTGAACTGGTTCCCACTAGATTTCCAAGTTCCCCGTTCCAGTAAGCTCAGTCCCCACCCCTCCCACATCCCAGGATCAAGCACTTCATGCATGGACACAGAGACCTTGTACTTTTATACATTGTATTTTACACCACCTTACTCCTGAAGAACTAGCACAGTGAGTAAAAATGAAAGGAGAACACCTAGGAGTCATACTGTTACAGTCAGCTCAGTCATGTGTTGACTATTGTTAACTATACTAAAGGATGTAACCAATAGGGTGCCATTTATCAAAACCTGTTATATGGCTGACATTGAACTGGGTGCTTTTAATTCTCACAATAAAAAGCACCTAAGCCAGGTGTCCCTGAGTTCCAACCCCAGTACCAAACAAACAAACAAAAAAGCACTTAAGAGGTAGGACAGTTATCTCTGCCTCTGCTTTAAAAATAAGAGAATGAAGGCTCAGATAATTTAAATAAGTAACTCGCCCAAGGGAGCTAGCTCAAATCTCTATCACTAGCTGGACGTGATGACTCACACTTGTAATTCCAGCTCAGGAATTAGATGTGGAGATCAGGAAGATCTCCATCTGAAGTTGGACCTGGCCAAAAAAAAAAAAAAAAAAAGCAAGCCCCTACCTGAAAAATATTTAAAGCAAAAAAGGGACTGGGGGCATGGCTCAACTGGTAGAGCACTCTGGACCGAGTTCAAACCCTAGTACCACCAAAAAACAAACAAAAAAAAGTCACTATTTCTACATCTGTACTCTTTTTACATGGCACCTACTGATAGCCATTGTACTTCCTTATCCCTCTGGGAGGCCTTGGGGCTTTCCGATCCTGTGTTGTGCCTCTTATGTGCTTAGTGACAGGATTTGAGAAATGACTCCATTCCTCTCTGGGTTTGCAGTAAGGCAGGTTTTCTGGATCAAAAATTTCCCTTTGAGAGAATTCCAAACCCTGTGGGGAGTCAGAAACAGCCAGGGGCTCAGTAAACATTTGCTGAATGAGTGAATGTGATGTTGACATATTTGATCTTTCAATTAAAGTGGATGATCAAGGTCAGGCGTGCTGCGGTGTTTTACTTCTATTTTCCCCTCGAGCCTAGCACAGCTCCTGGCACACTAGGGTAATATTCTTGGCTCACGCTCTTCTTAGACAACAGGAGTAGCACATGCATGTGCCCATCTAGTGCTGCAATGGGGCAGGGGCCTCCTGAGACACACAGAAGCCACAGCAGACCCCATACCCTAGAAAGTAGGCTGGGTCCTACAGCAAGCAAAGACTCATAATTCACAAGCTTGAGTGCAACACTCACAGCTGTATGACCTCAGCCAAGTCCCTTCATTTCTTTGAGCCTCACCTTCCTTATTTGTAGATGTGGGTGACAGTTATCTGGCACCATTATTGGGCGGTTAGGTGAGAACAGGAAGGTTACACAGAGGCTGCTGCCTTCTGTCCCCCAGCCTGCCCTTCACATGTACTCAAAAGCCTAAAGAGCATTCATTCACCCCTTTGTAGAACCTGCTCTCTGCCTTCTCTGTGCCTTCCATGCACCAGGCTTGATCTGGGGTTGGGGAGGTGGGGGGGTGGAGGTGTGTGTTTTATTCCAAAAACACAAACCTGTCAGTCTCCAGAGAGACGGGCTTTACCTCAACAACAACCCGTGACCCTGCTGACTCTGGTTAACCATGAGTGAGTGAATGAATGAATGAGCGAGGGAAGGTTAGATATAATCAAACAGCTTGTAAGTCTTAGGGCTGGGAGCTGTGATGCCGGAAGGGGTGAAAATGTCCAGAGCTGAGAGCCCAGGGTCCCAGGACTGTGTCTCACCCTGAGTCTCCCTCATACCTTGGGCAGACGGTATTTGTCTCGGAAGTGACTCCGAAGAGTGGCTCGCTCTGCCTTCCTCTGAGTGAACTGCGCATCTCTCTCCATCCTGTGGAGGCACCAGGGTGGAGTCACCACAAGGGCTGAGAAGAAGGGGTGGGATCTTCGGGGGAGAGGCCAAGGGGGTCTCCGCCATCCCTACCCTGCTAATCTGTGTGTAGCTAGGGTGTTCTGACTGGAAGGCCTAGCCGGCCCCTCTCCTCATCACAGCAACTTTTATTGTCTCAGCACCTGACACTGGACAGAGCCAGCAGGGATGGGGTGTCAGTCTGTCTGACTGTCCCTGCAGACCATATTTTATGTACCTGCAGTCTTCACCTCGGGTCCGTCTTTCCCTCCCTGACAAGCTGTGTTGGGAGGGGAAAAAGTATTCGCCTGGCAGCTCCACTGCTGCTTTAGATAGATCTTTAGGTAAATCACTTCCCTTCCTCTTCTGTTAATGGGGTTGAGATTTTGCAACTTGCAGAACTATCAGAACGAAGTGAAATAGCAATAGCTAACATTTCGTGATTTGTCATCTGCTATGCGCTGTGCTAATGTGCTAAAGGTTTATATGCATTAAGTCATTTAACCTTCATGTATATATAAAGTCATATATTATGATTTCCACTCCCATCTTCCAGAAGAGGGAAAGAGACAGAAAGGCTAAGAACCTTGCCTAAAGTCACTCAGCTAGAAAGAAGCAAAGCCAGGATCTGAACCAAAGCAGCCTTGCTTCAGAATCCAGACTGTAACTCAGAGACTCCAGCTCCACTCTGTCTCAGAGCTGCTGACCATAACTGGGCTCAATGTCCAGGAGCGCCCCCACCCCAGGGTCTGGCCTTATGGCTCTGAGCCCCCTCTTTGGCTACACCACTTTTCTCAGAGCCTTAGGCTCAGAGGAGCCCCAGTTGGAAGTCAGGCGGCTAGGACCAGATCGGATTAAGGGATTACCTGTTTCGTCAGAAATGCACGTGCACCCCCCCCCTCCCAGGCACCGGTCATCCCTCCTGGACTCCATCTGGGCCAGAAATCAGAAGCTGGAGCAGGGTCCTGGATTTGAGACAGGGTGGCTGTGGGAGCAACCTGGAAGGGACGTCCCAGCCACTTACCAGGTTTAGGAAAGGAGCAGAAGGGGTTTGACCTAAACCTGGCCCAGGGGTGGGCCCAGCGGCTGTGTGTGTGGGGTCATTGGGGCCAGGAAGGGAACCCACTCACTTCTCTTCCACCAGTTGCTTCTGATACTCCTCGTACTCCTCTCGGCTCATGCCCTGCGCTTGGGCCGCTGACTTGTCCCCGTCCCCCTTGTCCTCGCCGCCCCCCAGGCTCCCGGTGAGGTTCTTCAGCTGGCCGCCCACCATAGTCTTCACCATGAACGCCATAGTCTTCGCCCGCCCCGGCACCGATCGCCCGGTCCCTCGCCCCGGGCTCTGGCACGTCCGCGCCCACTTCAGCACTGGGTCCCGCGGACAGCTCCCGCCGCGAGCCCGCGCCCCACGCTCTGCGCCGCCCGCCCCCGCCCCCCGGGCCCGCCCCCGCCCCCCGGGCCCGCCCCCACCTTCCCAAACCCCTCCTCGCGGGGGGCGGGGGGCACGCACGGGGCTGAGAAGGCTGGACCACGTGCCCGCGCCACACTCCCTCCTCTCCCACGTGCCTACTTCCACGCCGAGCTCCGCTGGCCACTGCTGACAGCGGATTAGGCCCTTCAGTGGTGGGTTTGCCCTCCCCGGGAGGAGGGGGCTGCGCCGATCGTGCCCTGAACCCCGCTTTCTACCCTCTTCCAACTTCCTCTTCTCTTGGATCATCATCCACAGCCAGGACTTCAGCTGGGAGACCCTGGTAGCAGCAGGGGGCAAAACACCCAGTCTTGGACCTCCCCATCCTCCCCCGCAACACACTCCCATCCTACAGTCTGCTGACCACAGCAGCTATTTTGGGAAGAGGGGAGATGCAAGAAAGTAAGCAGGAATTGCAGTTATGGTTCACCCATGAGTTCACCTCTCAGGGTTCCTGTCACGTGCCTGTCCTGCTGTCCCTGGAGCCTCAGGGGGTGAGGAGGGAGACAGTTGTTTGATGATGCGGGCAGGGCTGGGGCAGGAGGGACACTGGGAGACACCACACTTTTTTGTTCTTGGTGAATTTAGGGACAATTATACACGGTTGTCTCTGTCCTTCAGTAGTGCAGAGGGAAGGGCTGTGGAGCAGCAGGTCTTTGGGGAATTAAGCCTTGCCTGCTTGGAGCCCACTCCTGACTTCCTACCCAGAGGAGGTGAAAGCCATCCGAGAGATTAGGGGAGACTACAAGGTAAATAAGTGAGCACATCAAAACGGTAAGGAGGAAACCACCTTTAATAAGGCAGGGCTCTTCAAACGCTAAGATGTGGGCAGTAGCTGGACACTCAGAGGAAGTGGTTACTCTGGCCCTTGATGCCACCTGCTTCCCAGGGAGAAGTGACTTTGACGTGGGTCAAGCATGAATGCTGGGTGAGACAGGCTGCCTCCTCAGAGCCCGCAGCACCCTAGGGAGGTGTGGGGTAGGACCCAGAGGAAGGCTTCCCGAGGACAGACCCTCCAGAATGCTCCTGTCCAGCTCCTGCCTGCCACCAGAGAGAGAAGAAAGTTACTTCGGTCCCTCCCTCTGGGCATTTGAAACCAAGACTCAACACTTGTCTCCTTGCACTCACTCCTTACAATGGTCTCCCTGCTCTGGGACCTTCTGTGGCTCCCTTGGGATGCCACATAAAGCCACAATTTCCCCCTAGCATTTACGGTCCAGTCCGTCTGTGTGGCTTACTGCACTGCACCCCAATGCACTCATTTCTACCTTGTCTCTTTTAACGATCAGTACCTTTCACTCCTCCTAGGCACTGATTCTGATTCTTTTTGTCTTGAAGATCTCTCAGAGAGAACTGTCAGTCCCTTTTACAAGGCCCTTAGCATATCCTCATGTCTAAATATCCCTCATGCATTCAGCAAACACCCACTTAGCAGAAATAGTTAACCCCTCCCCCACCTTTTCAATTATCTTCACCCTGATTTTTTTTTTAAGGCAGCTTCTCTCTGTGCAACCCAGGCTGGCCTTGAACTCTAGATCTTCCTGTCTCTGCCTCCCAAGTTCTTGCAATTTCAGGTGTGCACTTCTACACCCAGCTTCTTTGCCCATTTTCAGGAAGTGGTTCTAACACTACTGAACTGTTACTTTTTTTTTTTGGCAGCACTGGGGTTTGAACTCAGGGCCTCATGCTTCCTAGGTAGGTGCTCTTAGTGTTTAACTGACTCCGAGGCCAGCCCTGAACTGTTACCTTTTTTTTTTTTTCCCAAAAATACTATGATTTTTGCGTGCATCCCTCCATATCTTTTCCAAGCTGTTCCCTTCACATCAATGCCTTTACTTACCTTGTCAGGGTGGGAAACTCCTAGTCACTTTGATGACCCAAGTCAAATGTCCTTTCCAGATCATTTTCTGGTCTCCCCCATTTGTATCAAGTGCTTTCTCTTGCACGCCTATAATCTCTGGGCTTCTTGCCTCATGGCACTGGCCACAGAGGGTGTTCAGTTTCTGTCTCTAGAGTGAGCTCTGTGCTGGCAGAATCAGATGCAGCTGAGGGCTGAGGAAGTGGTCTATGTCTCAGGAAAAAATGGGGCCTAGCCTGCTTTGCTCCTTTTCATCTGGAGTGGGCAGCTCCCCTCTGGGGCCTCAGGGCCCCCTCTCTCAAATTGAACAACTGTAGCTGAGAACAGAGCAATGCTGGGTAATATGGGAAGTCGTGCCCACAGGTAGGCCCACCTGAAGTTCACATAGCAGAAGAAGCCAACAGTCTGGATGAGGAGGAAGAACAGGAAGATACCAGGCTGCAGGCATGTGGAGACACCTGGGCACCAGGCAGGTGGGCAGGACGCCTTGGCTGCCACTTTCTGAAAGGGGAAAATCTGAGGTCCTGGCTCAGCTTTTAACCCAGGAGGAGGGAGAGGACCTGAAATCACTATCATGCATGGTCCCTGTTTATCTCTCGCAGGCTTGTGGCATTCTGGCTCTTATCTAGGGCAGATGGAGAAAGGGCAGTGTACAAAGCTGCCTCTCCCACCCCAGCTCCCACAGCTCCATCTGTGTGATCAGCTGGGAAGACGTGGGTCCTGGAATCATCAGGGGGTCCAAAGGCTTAGGAGATGAGAGCAGAGAGAAGTGAGAAGTGAAAGACAGGGTGAGGGTAAGGGAAAGAGCAACACAAGGAAGGGCCAGGTCCACCACCAAACTCTAAATGATCTTCCATTCTGTCTTTGAGGGGGTTGTGTCAAGGGGTCTCCAGGGCCCTGCTGGTTCTGCGCGTGTGGGACTGCAAGGAGCAGAGAGGATAGAGACAAGCTGAGCTCTGGTCCCTGGATGCCGGTGTGCGTGTACACACGGATGCTAGGGGTCCTTTGAGGGAGGACAAAGGAAGGTTGCTCAGGGCTGCAGAAGTGCTGGACACACCTTAGGGATGGGCCTTTCATGCTACCCACTACTTTTTCCTTACTACCAGGCCCCGAAGGTCCTTCTGCAGGAGGCTGAGGATCTGGTCCAGCTCCAAGAAATGATGCTGGGTGCCCACAGGCAGGTAGAAGACCTGAGTTCCTGAGGCCATGTGGGCAGCTGCATCCCTGATGAAGGGGGGGTGGAAACCAAGGGAGATGACCCATTACTGCTCTGGTTGTACCCAGATCATCTAATCATTTCACATAACCCCAGGAGCAGCACATGGTGGGGAACAGGCACCAGCCATAGGGTCCCTTCTTTAGGACTGGTCTTTTCACTCCAAATCTCCCTAGATCCTTAGACAGCTTTAGCTCAGTCAAGGATCTCCCAAAAGCTGTCTGTCTCAACGCCAGACTCCACTGGTTTTGCCTTTCGTCCCCAGCCCCACAGGACTTAGCTTCTATCCCTCTTCTCCTACACCAGTGCCAGGCGTCTAGTTGGAGGCGGTGGCCGGGGCAGAGGGGCTACAGCGTCCACAGTGTGCAGGTGATTTCTATGGGTAGTTCTAGAGTTGTAAGAATTCCAGAGTGGGATGTGGGAGGCTGGAGGGGAGCAAAACAAATTCAGGGACTCCCTTCTCCCACTGGTCTCATCTTGGCTGTGCTCCCTCCAGGAACCTCCATCAAAACACTTGGCTCCCTGCAGGAGCTGTCACTGAAGGAAAGAAGCCTCAGTTCTGCTGACCCTGCCTAGGGTGGGAATGTCTCATGGGGGCCTTTGTGATGGGCTCCTCCTCAAGAGAATTGCTTTTGAACTAGGACTTTCAAAACTTGATTCAATTGAGTTCAGGTCAATTAAGTAAACTTAACTCCACCCCTAGAACCTCCCACTGCCAGGTTCTGTGCTCGGTGTTCAGGAAATGATGAAAGGAATGAAGAATTCATGGAGGAACTTCAGGCAGAGAGGCCAGTTGGTGCAGGGGCTTCTCTTCCCTCTCCCCAGTCCCCCTCCTCACCCTTTCCCTTACCTCATCTCTTGCAGGGACTGCAGCAGAGTACGCTGTCCACACATCAGGGTGCTGACCTTGACAGAGTCCTGCAGGAGGGCCAGGCTCTTGTCTAGCTAGGGTCCAGGGCACAGCACTCTCTTCTCAGAGCCCACCTTCCCCAGGGATACTGCAATTCTCTTCCTTCCAGACCTTACCAGGTTTCCAGGGCTCTCTTCATTTTGGACACATTGAGTTTCCTGACCCTTGTCCATCTGGGATTCTAGGGTACCCCTTCTCCTTCTCCTGAACCCCTCTCCCTAAAGGCACCCATTTCCTCCAACAGGGACTCTCCTGGACTTCCTCAAAATTCCTCTTCTTTCTAAAAGTGGTCCAAGTCCACGATGGGGCAAAGGCCCAGGTCAAACCTCCCTGCCCCTTCTCCTAGGGCATATAACCCAAACAGGACCAGCACTGGCTAAAATCAGTACATAGGTTTCTGTCCTGCAGAGCGACTTAGAGAGATAGCTGTCTCTCTTGGTGGTGGATGGAATCTGGCAGGAAGAGTCCAGGACCTGGAGGTAAAATCAGAGGCCTGACTCTGGACTGTGGGCTCCTCCCTTCTGTCCTCCTCCAGCAGCCTAGCCTAAGCTGTTCTGGCCTGAGGACAAAGGCTTAAAACCTTGAGCTGTCAGAGAGCAGAAAAGCCTGCCAGCCCTGCTGGCCTCCTCTGCCCAGTAGCTAAAGCCTTGTCTGGGCTTGGCTCTCAGGCCCCCAGGCTGGGTGTGTCCCGGGGCCTGACTCCTCGGGGAGGAGCCTGGATGGCAATGAAGATGAAATGAGGATTCTGATGCAACTAAGCCATATGCAAATTAGCACCTAGTCTATTTCTGTCATTTGTCTACAGATCCAAGTCCAAACACCTGGCATCTCCTCTCCCTAGCCCCAGCTGTGTGGCTCTGGGAACATTTGCTTGTGCAGAGATGCCCCTCCCCATTCTATGACCCGTATGTAACCTTTCACCCCAGCAGCCCTTAGGGAAGGCTGGCTTCTGACTTCCTCTTTCACGTCCACAGTTGGAGCTTTGGGTTCCTGACAGGTCACTCACCCAGCCTCCCTCAGGCCTGGCCTGCCCTGGGGGCCCCAGCTGTTTCTTCCACTGCCTCTCGGCCTGGGCCAACTGCTGGGACAGAGCCTGGAGGGCCTGCAGGATCCACCTCTGTTTATCCAGTATCTCCTCCAGGTCGAAGAGCCTTTGCCCTGGGGATTGGGGCAGCCAGGATGTGAACAAGTGAGGTGCAGCAACAGATCCCGTCTTGGGAAGTAATTCACATAGAGGAGCGTGAGAAGGTACGGATTCTGCCTTCAAGGCTTGTCCCCAAGGCTTGGGTGGTTGACAGGGATAGGACAAAACACCAGGGTCCAGGTTCTACTTAGATATGGCCTGTTGGTTAAAGGAATCCTGATTCCAAGGACAGAGGTCTCGTGGCATTCAAATAGGCCATTTGTCCACCTGCCTGCTCCCTGGGTCCCTACCCTCTTCCTGGACTTTGGAGTTCAGCTGTGGAATGATGTCCTCTTGGGGGCCTAGGGCCAACCTTGCCTGCAGCTCTTCTAGCTGCCTTGCCAAGCGTTGCTGTTCCATTTCCAAGAAGGGCCGGGGAGCAGCCTGGAGGAGGAAGACAAAAGGTCATATCCAAAGGTGAGGGAACCTTCCCCTTCGGGCCACCCATTAGCCCTGACCACACACTTGCCCTGACCAGGAAAGAATCCTAAGCTCAGCCACTAGGCTCTGCAGTTTCTAGTCATCTAAGCCCAGCTTCCACCACCAAGTCTCACACCCTCCCCTTCCCCCCCACCACTGCAGGCCTGTGCACACTGCTCCTTTAAGTTTATCTTCTCCAGTTTGGACATCTCCTCTATGCTCACACAGCCCCCTGCACCTTTTGGCAGCCTGCATTGATCACTCTGAGCCACTATGACACACGCCTGGAAGGACAGAGCCTGCCCCAGCAGGCTCACACACAGCCCAGCCTGAGTAGAATGCAGGAGATAATGGTTGAAATAGTATGTCTGAGGACACTGTGACACTGGGTAGAAGCATCTGGGGAGACAAGGGTCCTAGGTGGATCAGGGTTGGCATCACCTCTGGACCTGGCTCGCTCAGACTGAAGGTCAGGAAGGACAGGACATCATGGTCATCTGGAAGAGGGAGATAAGATTCGTCCACCGTCAGCCTATCAATTCAGACCTCGCCCCGCCTACAGGCCCATTATATCTCCGGGAGGCAAAAGATCTGGGTGACTTTGGGCAGCTCTCTGACCTTCATCATAGGAAATGTATGAGGGTCAGACAAGCAGATGTGTGGACTTCCGGGGCTGAACCACACACTCAGCCAGAGGCGGGCTCCCAGGGAGTGGCAAAACTGCAAAATCAGTAAGCATCCCCAGCTAGAGTCATAGCAGCAGACCATGTGACATCCTTAGGCTCCAAGCACAGCTGCTGCTGGTAGCAGCAACCACGAACTGGCTGCTTCTCCACCTGGCCCTGACCATATCCCTGCCCTTAAAAACCTTCCATGGTTTCCCAGTGCCCAGCGTCTAAACACCAAAGTCCTAGCATTCAGGGACTCCCACTGTCTGGTTGCACCCTGCCTTCCAGCTGCGGGACCCTGTGTGAGCTCTCCATTGCGTCACATCCCTTCTTCCCCATTTCCTTAAATGGCTCTCTTTCGCCTGTCCCAAAGCATCTAGCACGGTGGCACTTGTAGGCTCAATCCTACAAAGAAAACTTCTCACATGTTGTCCCATTTGAGACTTTCATTAACCCTGCAAGGCAGATGTGACCCTCTCCCGAGGGTAACAGAAGCCAGAAGCTCAGAGAGGACTCATGGTAACTTACCCAGGCCATTGTAGACGGTATGCTAAAGTTGTTTCATCAAACACTGCCCCTCTGCTCTTACCTGCCCAGTGGGATCCTTACCTGCCAGGGTGCTGGTAGCTGCTGAGACCCCAAAGAAACCTCCAGGGGCCAAAATCAGGGGTCCCACATCAACACAGATCTCGTCGGGGTCATTTGGAGTGAGGCCGCTGCCCAAGGACACCTGAGGAACATGCAGGAAGTAGGCTTCTGCCTCTCCCCAGCCCCAGCAGGGGGGCTTGCCCTCCCCCCACTCACTGGTTACCCTGGTCCTGAGGGAGGGCAGAAGCCACAGGACTTGGGATCAGAAGGGAATAAAAGTGACCTACACTCCTGGTCTCATGTGACCCCTATGTGCACATGCCCTGGGTGTGTTAGGATTCTGTGCACAGCTGCAAGATCCCAGGTGGGTACTGGCCTGAATGTGTCAAGGACCCCCACGTGGGTATGAGGACTGGTGTATGTGCAGGGACCTCGTGTCAGTTGGGACCATGGGCACCCCATGCAACAGCTGTGTAACTTGGAGCACCCCTCACCCTCAAAAGCAGGAGGGGAACTCACATGCAGCCTCTGCCCCCAGTAGGTGATCCTGGCTCTGAAGGGGTATGGCCTGTTCCGGAAGTCCCGGTGACAGGAGCCCAACACCTGATTGGCTCCATCCCTGTGGGCATTTGGAATTCAGCCAGGTCACACACGGGACCCAAGGCCTGGCCAACAGGGAGCAGTCCTACAAGCCACTCTGTCCAAGCCTGCAGTGTTACCCTCTCCTACTGGGTGACCTGGTATGGACAAATCTCTCTGGTCTAGCTTGAGTCTCCCTTGTCGTAACTACCGGCTCCTTAGCAGGAGAAAGAGGGATGGGGAAGCAAGCTCTGCCTAGCAGAGTGTTTGGATTTGGGATTTAAGAAGGGGCCAGGAGCCAGGGGCTGGTAGTTCACACCTGTAGTCCTAGCTACTGAGGAGGCAAAGATCAGGAGGATTGCAGTTTGGAGCCAACCTGGGGCAAAAAGTTCTTGAAACTCTATCTCAAAAAAACCCATCACAAAAAGCGCTGGTGAGTGGCTCAAGGTGGAGGCCCTGAGTTCAAACCTCAGTACAGCAGACAAACAAACAAAAAAAGAAGGAGCCAGATGCCTCCATGTGGCCCTTCCCCAGAGGGACAGAGGCCTGGACCAACCGTGGGGTTTCTGACCTCTGTACCTCCAACCCTGTGCCTCATCTTACCAGCCTTCCCTCCCTCCCTCTTTCCCTTAAACTTCAGGTCCTTTCCCTGTGCCTCTGGGGGAACCTCGTTCTTTTCCCTTATGCGAAGGCTTAGACTGCAGCAGGACAGACGGCATGGCGTCCCTCCTAACAGCTAAGGACAGTGAAGCCAGCCTACCTCCCCACAGGTGGCATGGACGGTGCTGCAGAGTCAGGGACACAATGTTGAGCCCTGAGTTTCTCTGGGCACACGGACAGTGCAGCTCACACCAGGGCACCCGTCACTGCCACCTTTAGTGGAGAGAGAGGCAGCACAGAGCGGGGCGAAACCAGCTGCAGGGAAGCACCCTGGGTTTGCACTCCTGGCTGTGTGACCTCGGAAAGTTCCCTCACCTTTCCCAAGCCTGGTCCTATTGCTGCCTTTAAAAGGAGGTTAATAACCACAACTACCTCATAACAAGGTTACGAGGCTCAACCAAGACAATGAATGTCAAGTGCTTGGGCGCCGTGCCTGGCGTACAGTAAGCTCAGCTCCATAAACATTAGCAATTATTCTAATTGCTATGAGCTCAGGGATATTTGCTAAGAGAGATGATAAACCGGCCCAGCCGCTGAGAGGCAGCCGGTTGGGGAGGACAGAATGCCATGTCATCTGGGAGAAAGGGACTGTGCAGCTGGTGCCCAGGAAGGGCAGGGATCCTCCCCAGGCAAGTCTGTGCTCAGCTCTGCGCACAGCTGTGTGACCTCTGCACATCATTTCACCTCTCTGGTGAAAGGCCAGCAAGGGTGGCAGTCCTAGGAGGAGTGGGCTCCCTGGGGCCAGCAAGGGTGGCAGTCCTAGGAGGAGTGGGCTCCCTGGGGAGTGGAAAGGAAGTTGTGGGTGAGTGCTATATTCCCCCCCTGCCCAAGAACCAGGTCAGTTCCCACAGGCCCTTACCCAGGTTGCTCAGGGAGGGTATGCCCATCGCTGGCCAGCACACGGATGGCAGGGCTGTTCTGCACAGGAGGTGACAATCAGCACAGGAATTGAGCCACCCGCACAGGAAGGAGGGTTTGGGCACTGACAGGCAGTGGGGCAAGCTGGAGACGCTCCTTACCTGGGCATCCTTGGTTGAGGAATCAAAGATGATCCCAATGCCGTCCCACGAAGCTGGTTCTCCCAGGACAGAGTTGACTTGGCCTCTGTCCTGGGTGTACCACACAGCCTGCAGGTACCCAGCCCCTCAGCTCAGGGGTTCCTAAAGCACACTGGAATCCTGGGGCTTATCACCTCCCTCCCTGACTGCCCCCCCTCTGACAGACCTGGGTAGGAGCCACTCACCATGCCCTGGGCGCCCCTGCGTCCCAGACCCGTCACCCTCATCTGCATCTCCACCTCCCAGGCAGGGAAGGGGACAGAGGCCCTGCTCCACACGGCGCCACTCTGGTTCCTCAAGGATGGCACCAGTCGTACTTCCTCCAGGCCTGGGATGGCATCTGTGGAACAGGGCAACTCAGGGCCCAGCATGAGGCCTCATTGTACCTTCATCTCCCATCTCTGTGACTCATTAGCCATAGCTGGGGCCCCAAGAGGAGATCACGTGAAGACCTGCCATTAAATAAGGCATGGCTGGTCAGATGCACAATTCCACTGAAGAAGTGGAACCAGGGCCTAGCAGCAGGGACTTTGTTGCCAGAGGAGGGCAACAAAGGCCAGCACTTTGTGTTCTCACTTCACTCTCCACAGGTCTGTGTTGTCTGTTTTTATAAGACCCAATTTTATAGTGTGAAGTTCTGAATTCAAGTCCCAGCACCGCCCCCCAAACAACCCACAACAAGCAAACAAAAATCCAGTGACCCAGAACGTAGGAGAGGGGGAAAATGACCATGGGACACTCAGGATGGTGGGAAGGCCACGGAAGCTTGGAGGACACTTCTGGGTGGCCAAATGAGGCTCCTGGGGCAGGGAACCTGGTGCTTTCCAAGGCGAGGAAGGCAGGAAGGCAAATGGGCAGAGGTGTGTGCTGGCTGGCAAGATGGTGAGGAAAGGGTGTAGGATGATTGGGTGTGAAAATTCTCCCTGATGCTGGTGGGTGGGTGGAAGGAACCCTATGTGATAGGAGAGGAAAGGAGGAAACTGAGGCAGACCTGGTAGGAACTAGAGGAAGGGAAATCAGAGGCCCCACTCCAGCTCCCCACCCTCCGCCTGCCAGCCTGGAACCTGGCCTATGGCCCAGACCCTGCCAGAACTTTCTGGAGGCTGCTGATCCAGGCTGTTTGCTCTGCAAAGGCCAGAAAGGGGTGGGGAGTAGCAGAAGCTACAAGGTCAGAAGTCCTAGGGCTCCTGGGACTGTCTCCTGAGTTGTGTGTGTGTATGTTTGTTTGAGACAGGGTTTTGCTATTTAGCCCAGGCTGACCTCCTAAATGCTGGGATTAAAGGCTTGTACCACCTGGCCCAAAGTGACTTGCAGAAGTCAAGGGTTGTCTGTTACCTACTACCTTTATTCATTCAAGCCTTATGTGGAGTGTCTGTGGACCTCACCCCAGACTGAGTCAGCCCTGTGTCCCCTGGGTGGGCACAGAGGATCATTGAGGTGGGAGTTTGATAGAAGGAGGAATGGACAGTGAGTGTATCACTGGGCATCTTGGACAATGTGGCTTTGCTTTCCTATATATATGCTCTGTGACACCCAGACAGGCCAAGGCCTGACATGGTGCTATGAGAAATGGTCAGACCCTTGGTTCACCTGCTGTGCGGAGGCTGAAGGAGGCTGAAAGAAAGCTCCTGCTAACAGCGCCTGTCACTTTAGCAGGCCTCAGGCAGGAATCATACCATTTCTCAGAACTTGTGTCACATAAGCAGAGATACACACTGTCTTTGCTTTGTCTGCTAGGAAGCTCTGAACTAAATCCATGCCTAGGCAGAGCTCACAGAATGTTTGGAAACAAGGTTCCTGGACTCATTTTATGCTGCTCTCTAACCTGAAGTCCCACTCTTTTCCTTTACTCTTCACATAGGCTCTTCCGTAGGGTAAGTTCTGAGGAAGGCCTCACAGACCCTTTTGCAAACAAGATCAGGCAGAGATGGACTCTGTGGGCCTGAGTTTGGAGGGCGCTGACCAGACCTGAGGGCTAACATGAGCTTATGTCTGCTCCCACCTCCAACACACACCCTGGCAAAACAACTAGACGTGAGGGTGCCTGCATCCTGGTAGCCTCAGGTCTTAAGGACGGTAGGGCCAAACAGAATGGTCAGGATAGCGCTTTGTTCTATGGTCCACAGTGACTTATGTCTCTGGCTGGGACTTCATGTGTGTGTATGCATGACGTGGTCCAAAAGGCAGAGGAAGGGGTGAAGGGACAAAGAGAAGAATCAAGTCCTAGGGCAGAGAAGGAGAGGCAGAGAGGAGAAACTGAGGCTGGTGGGTGGCGGTGGAGTTTTGGTGAGTGGAGGAGAAAAGCCTAGAAAGAGTCCTAGGCCTGTGCACTGTCCCTCCAGTCTGGCCCCACTTTTGACACAGGCTGGCACTGGCATATCCACTCTCCACCCAGCAACAGCCCTTCCAGCGCTCTGAGGGACCCCGGGCATAACTGGCCCCCGCCTCTGCCCCTCACCTCCATGATGGCTCCAAAATGGAATTCCAGCCCCAGGCAATGCCAGCTGTGGTCCCTTGAAGCTGAACTTGTACTCAAACCTGCGCCGAGCACCACGGGCCTCCTCAGCGCTGTGGGGGGCCAGGAGCAGGAGAAGGAGGCAGCGCAAAGGAGACAGACCACCAACCCCCGGCATTGTGAAGACTGCTGATGTCTGAGTGCCAGGGTAGATGGTAGCTGGGAAGCCAGGGAGGGGCTCTTGGGCCTGAGCCAAGCAAGGAGGAGCTGGGGACCAGCCAAGACCTGGCTTTTGGCACCGTCTTCCCCCTCCCTCCCCAACACAGACATCCTGTTCCTTGCAGGCCTGATCTCAGGCCCCACCCTCCCTCACCTCCAGCCCGGATGGCCAGTCAGCCCTTGCCACCCTCTGCAGCTGAGTGTTGCCCCTGCTCTTTGGCTCAGGCCATCTTTCCACCTTCCCTCAGCATCAGCAGCTGGTGACAGAGGCGGGGGTGGCATGCTCACAGATGCACAGGGACAGGCCCCACCCGTTAGCAGCCCTGGCCTCTCCTGCCTGTTGGAGACCTCCTTTGCTTTCTGCCTCTTTAATGGAACATGAATGATGACTCTAGTCCATCCACCCTGCCCTTCTGTTTCCTCTTCAGCCCTTCCTCCTCCCCCCTCCAGCTGCTGCTCAACCCTCCTGTGTTCCGGAAAGCTCATCTTTCCCAGCACCCTGGTGTCTTCAACAAATAAATTACATGAGCAAAGAAAGGGAGCCTCAAGAGACAGAACAAACAAATGTAATGCATAGATCTTCTTTAGAGTCTAAGTTTAACCCAACAACTGGAAAAAAAAGAGACAATTGGGGAAATTTGAACAATGGCTATTTGATTATATTAGGGAATTATTAAAAATTTTAGGGGTAATATGGTATGTTGCAGTTATGGGTTTTTGTTGTTGTGGTAACAACAACAAAAGGTGTAGGCTTTGAACTCAGGGCCTACACCTTGAGCCACTCCACCAGCCCTTTTTTGTGATTTTTTTTTTTTTTTTCGAGATAAGGTCTCATGAACTATTTATCCAGGCTGGCTTTGAACCTCGATCCTCCTGATCTCTGCCCCGAGTAGCTAGGATTACAGGCATTGAGCCACTGGCACCCAGCTGTAGTTATTATGATTTTTTTTTTAAGTCTTTTGGAGAAACATACTAAAGCTTTATGGATGAATTCATATAATGTCTGGGATTTGCTCCAAAATACTCCAAAGCCTGGGGAGAGCAGGTGGTATATAGACAACACAGGCTTGACCTTGAGTCGATAACTAAAGCTGCATGGTATGAATTTGAGGTTCAATACATTATTCGCATTTTTTATTTATGTATTTTTGTGGTGCTGGCAATGGAACCCAGGACCTCTCCGATACTGAGCAAGTGCCCTACCACTGAGCTATACCCCCAGCCTACTTTTTTATTTGACTTTCCATATTAAAACTTTCTTTTTTTTGGCAGTACTCAAGTTTGAACTCAGGGCCTCAAGTTTGCTAGGTAGATACTATACCACTTGAGCCTCTCCACCCAGTCAAACATGTTTGGTTTTGTTTTTGGCGGGGGGGAGGGCACTGGGGTTTGAACTCAGGGCCTTGTGCTTGCTGGGTAAGCAGTCTACCACTTGAGTCATGAATCTAGCCCTTTTTGCTTTTGTTACTTTATTTTTATGTTGGTGGGACTGGGGTTTGAACTGAGGGCTTTATGCTCACAAAGCAGACTCTACTGCTTGAGCCACACATCCAGTCCATTTTGCTCTGCAGATAGGGTTTTGCAAAAGTATTTGCCTGGGCTGGCCTTGAACCTAAATCCTCCCGGTCTCAGCCTCCCAAGTAGGTAGGATTAGAGGTATGAGTTACTGGCATCTAGCCCTTGCTTTTATTATTTTTCAGATAGGGTCTCACACTTTCGCCTTCGCCAGCTTCTGACTGAGCTCCTCTTGCCTCATTGTTGGGATTACAGATGTGAGTTACCATACCAGCTCTTCAAGCACTCAGGGCCTCATGCTTGCTAGGCAGGCACTCTATCACTTGGATCACTCTTTCAGCCCTGTTTTTTATTGGGTATTTTTAAAGATAGGGTCTCATGAACTATTTGCCTGGGCTGGCTTTGAACTGTGTTCCTCCTGATCTCTGCTTCCTAAGAAGCTAGGACTATGGGTGCCTTTTTTTTTTGTGGTACGGGGTTTGAAATCAGGAATTTGTGCTTGCTAAGCAAGTGCTCTACCACTTGAGCCACTCAGTCAGCCCTACTTCAAATCTTTTCATCCAAATAAAAGTTGGTTTTTCATGGTGAATTCTTTGCCAATAATTCTGGTTAGCTGAACTTTCATTGTGCTTTGTATGTTACCATAGGATTCAGTCCCTGAGAGTCTATGGAAGGACTGAAGTAAGGTTGTAAATGGACAATTTTAGGACATGCTAAGTCAGTTCTTGACACTAAGCTCTCAACCACCACCGCTGCTCTCACCCTTGCCTTCTCTCCCTCCCTGTTCCTTGAGTTGGAGCTCCTCAGAGTTCTCTTCCTTCCTCACTTTCCACACATTTCCTGACACAGCTCATCCACACCCCTGGCCTCTAGCACACTGCCTGGTCTGTGATCCCCAAATCCCTACATCCAGTCCAGCCTATCCTTGGAACTGCAGGAATGTCCCTCTCTGCAGGGGGCATCTCTGTTTGGATGTCACTAAGGCCTGACACCATGTCCAAACAACCCCTCTTCTCTAGCACACACCCAGCCTCCTCCAGACCTCAGACCACACCACCTGAGCACCAGAGCAGAGATTGGAACTCCCCCTAGGTCCTTTCTGCCTCATCCTCTGCAACCACTACCAGCTAGCTCGTTTCCTCTTGCCACGCTCAGATTGTCACTTCATTCCTCAATCTCCCAGAGGTCTCCTGTGTAACATGGGGACAATACCTCAAGAGTTGTCTGGAGTGTTAGATGAGATACTCATGAAGTGCTTAGAACAGAGCCTGGCAGGTAGTGAACGCTCAGCTTGGTAACATGCCAGCTGGGTTGATCTCCCCCATGTTACCCGCTTCACAGCAATGACCTCCACCTAGCTAACAGGCATCCTCCCCATACCTCCCTGGACTTCCTCTATACCGGAAAGATCTTTGAAAAAGGCAGAGCTGACCCAGCATGCCCATTCCTCTTTTATAGATTTTATGATTCTTCTGATCACCTCCAGAGTAGCTAGGATAGCAGGCATGGGCCATAGTGTCCACCTGGGAGGTTTGTTTTTAAGAAGGCAGAGACTTGAGCAAAGTCCTAGACACTTTTACAGCTTCTGATCATCTTTGCATAAAGTTGAGCTCTTTATTGGGCCCACAAAGACAGGTAGGATTTGGGCTCTGCTTTCAGCCTCATGTGCTCCCAAATCACAGCCCTGGCTTCTGAGCCTGTCACTCTCTTCCCTGTGCCTGAGAAGTTGTCCAAAGCCTCTTGCTTCCTCTGCCCCATTGGCTGGGTGTTAGCAATAGGTGACATCCCACTGGGAACCAAGTTGAGTCCCAGGAGGGTTCCCCCACCTGCCCATGAGCTCCTGGGGGCAGGAACTGTCTTTCTCATCTACAATGAGCCAGCAGCCAGCACAGAGCAGAAGGAAAGGAAGAAAGGGACAGAGAGAGAGAGAGAGAGAGAGAGAGAAGAGGACTTAACCCAGGATATCAGCAAAACTGTCAATCAGAGCACCCCACCTCACACCCTGCCATAGATTTGGTGGTTAAACATTCACCAAGGCACCACTGTGAGTCTCCTTTGAAGTTTCAGAGGGACTGTCCATGTCCCATCCCATCCAGGCCACCTTCCTTATGCTCTGGGTTCCGGTTCCAGACCCAGGCCTGTGCTTTAAGGAAGGCTCTGTCATTCATCACTACCACTCCTTCCTAGCTTCTGCCTCCTCTCAGGACTCAGGCAGGATCTGAAAGTCAGTGTCCTTCCCTTTGATAGTCAGATTTGCTCGTCTCTGCCTTCTTAAAACCAAACCTCCCAGTTGGACTCTATGGCCCATGCTTATTATCCTAGCTACTCTGGAGGTGATCAGAAGAATCATGGTTCAAGATCAGTCTAGGCAAAAAGTTAGTGAGATTCCATCTCAACCAATAAGGTGGGTGTGTGGCGCATCCTGATTTATGGGGGAGACCGTGGGTAAGAGGATCCTAGTCTGGGGCTAGGTGCCAGTGGTACATGCCTATAATCCTAGCTACTCAGGAGGCAGGGATCAGGATTGGGGTTTGAGGCCAGCCCAGGCAAAAAGTCCGACCCTATCTCAAAAGGGCTGGTGGAGTGGCTCAAGTGGCAGAACACCTGCCTAGCTAGTACAAGGCCCTGAGTTCAAACCCCAGTATGGTAAAAACAAAGCAAAAAACCCAGAGAATTCTAGTTTGAGACCACCAGAGACTCTATGTGCAAAATAACTGAAGCAAAAAAGGTTTGGGGGCGTGACTTGAGTGGTAGAGCACTGACTAATAAGTACCAGGCCCTGAGTTCAAACCTCAGTACAGGGCTGGAGGTATGGCTCAAGAAGTAGAGTGCTTGCCTAGAGTTCACCCTCTTCTCTCATGTCCTCCCACAAAGATCCCATTCTTGTCTATGGCTTCAGGTTCCATCTATCCACTGATAACTCAAATTTCCTCCTCTAGTGCCTGGGCTCCAATAAATTACTTAGTACCTCTTGGCAGCTTCAAAGGCACATTTACAACCCAATACCCATGATGCTCCAGCCTGGTTCCCTCACTTAGCGGGTACCCTGCCCCAATCCATCAAAGTAGAGCCAGGTGTTGCTATGGCTCCTTCCTCTCCTCCAACCTCACACTGAACCCGTTTGGTCAACTTCACCTCTTACATTTCCCTGGATTCTGTCTACCTCCTACCATCCTCTCTCTCCTAGTAGCTAGTGTGGTCATTTTGCTCAAAATTTGCTACTGGCTTCCTATGGCTCTTGGTTTGATAAAAGGCCACAGCCTCCCCTCTCTAGCCCCATCTCACACCTTCAGCCCCTAGCTGTCTCTAAAGCATCTTCTCAGAGGTCCTGAACAAGCTGTTCAACCTCTGGCTGGTCTCTTCCTAGGTTGCTGCTAACCCCAACCATCCTTCCTCTCTCACCTTCTTCCAGAAGTGTTCCTTGATCAATAGGTGAGACTCATGTTAGGTGTCGTCTTCTTAACACTTGTCACTATTTGTGATTATGTGATTGTCCTCTCCACTGTGAGCTCCCTGGGGTCTGTTTTGCTCACTGTGGAACCCCAGTCACAGTAGTCTGGTCAACTTTTAGAAAAATTAGTCTGGTAGTATATGCAGAAGATGGCTGGGGAAGTGAGGAGATTGTTGCCCTGGGCCAGGAAGAGACCAGAGGCTGAGTCATAGTGGGAGCTGAGGAGGAAGGGCCTTGACAGGACAGGGGAACCTCCCCACCCATGTCTTAGATCAAGCCTCCCCCACCTGGGTTCTGCTACCCCTGGACAAGCTGAGGGGAGATTATCATTCTACATCTGTGTGCCTGGCTACAGGGCCTGGATCCCCTTCCCCCTGCAAAATCCAGTAAGACACAGGGTCTACACAGTGGGGATGGAGCAAAGCAGTTACATGTCAGGTGAAATGTGACGTCCACCAGAGGCTCAGAGGCTCCCCTTCCCACCACCCTTCAGCTCAGCATCTTCTGAGGATTCTCATCTCCAGTCAGGCCCTGGGATGTCATCCCATCTGGTCTGGACTGGGCTCCCGCCTCCTTGTGCTGTGGGCCTGAATGACTCAGCAGGAGAGGCAGCTGGAACCCCCAGGAATCATCCTGTGGATGGGCAGCCCCAGAGCCCAAGGCCCGAATGCCAGGCCCAGGTGCAGCTCGAAGGGAGGGGCAGGTGGTGAGCACTCCCCATGGGCAGACAAAGAACACTCGCTCGTGCAACTGACACAAAGCGGAGGCTACATCTTCTGGCCATGCTCCCCTAGCCCCACTCACAGAGACAGGGGACGGACAAGATGGCATGGGGGACGACCAGGCAGACAGCAGGCTCGGCGGAGGAAGCGCCGAGGCTGGGCGGCGGTGCCCTCATGGAGTGGTTTATTGATTCCATCTCACAAGGCAGGTGGGTGAGCGGCAGCGGCACATGAAATCCAAGCCCCCGACAGACGTCTGCCTCGGGCGCATGCAAACAGTGCAACATGGTCAAGCGCAAACATGGGGCGACCGAGGCAACATGGGACACGGGACACGAAATGCGGGAACGAGGCTGGGGTGATGGATCCCCAGAGAGGGGTTGGTCCCTCCCACCCTTGGGGGCAGGAAAGGAAAAATAAGATTCGTACTTCTTGTAAAATGCCCATTTGCTGGGTATTTTCTTTCTCCTTATCTTGAAAAATAATAAAAAATAAACACACGGAAAAAAATCTCAAAAAAGGAAAGGAATAAAACTCTAAGAAGGCGAGTGATGGGAGGCCAGGAGAAGGCTGATCGTGGTGGGGCACTGCCTCCCGCGCCTCAGCCTCCTCCCTTCTTGGCCCCCTCAGTGGGTACCCCAAGCCCTACAGGTGGGTCCATGAGAGAAGGTGCCAGGCCTAGGTGGGGCCCTTAGGCCAGAGGGGACAGATTGCTGGATCGGAGGAAAGAGGCCAGCCAGCCCACTGGGGCTCAGTTCAGGTCTAGGCCCAGCAAGCAGAGCAGCAGGGCACCAGGTCCACGATCTTCCAGGTCCAGTCCCTGTAGGCCCAGGGCCTGCGCAGAGGCAGAGGTCACAGGTGCAGCTCATGGGCTTTGATGTGCTCAAGCTGCTCTCGAAGCTGCAGAAAGGAAGGCCGCGTGGCGGCATCCAGGTGCCAGCACTTCTTCATGACCTCGTAGACTGCAGGCGGGCAGCCATCTGGGGCATCCATCTTGTAGCCCTTTTCCACCCGAGGGACGACGTCCTTCAGGGGCTGTGTGTGGGCAAGTGGGTGGTGTGAGTTTGTGCAGGGCCCGACACTACGTGGCACCCTGTCCAGGGATTCCCTTCAGCTCTGCCTCAGCCCCGGGCCAGGATGTGGCCTGGAAGCTCCACAGGGCAGGCCTGAAGTTTCTAGGCCTTAGATGAGGGAGGCAGCCCCAGGGGGCCACTACCCCAACCAACCCTCCCTCTACCCCAGCCACGCACAGGGCTCCAGTGCCCAAACTCACAATTCTTGGGTAAGGCACTCGCCCGAAGGAATAAATTTCCCAGAGAAGGATTCCAAAACTCCATACATCAGACTTGGTGGAGAATTTCTGTCATGTGGATGGAAGAACTGGCATCAGATCCTGGGAATCTAGGGCTGATGGGTGACCCAGAACCCTTGCCCTGTGTTGCAAAGGCCATCCCACCTTCTCTCTCAGGGCTTCAGGGGCTGTCCACTTGACTGGCAGCTTGCCTGTGTCCTGGGTGCTGGAGGCCTCCTTGGTGAGGCCAAAGTCGCTAACTTTGGCCACGTTGTCCTCAGACACCAGCACGTTTCGGGCAGCCAGGTCCCGGTGCACGAAGTTGTTGCCCTCCAGGTACTCCATGGCCTCACAGACATCTCTAAAGGCAGCCACGTGACACTCAGACCGGGGCTCCCATAGCAGGGTAGGGGTTTCCCTCAAGTCCCCATCATCCTCCCACCAGCTGTGTCACTCACAGTGAGAACTTGAGGAGACAGTCTCCGCCCAGCACCGACCGACCACGTGACCGCAGATAGTCCACCAGGCTCCCCTGGGGACAGGACAGACACACTGATTAGCGCACCGAGCAGAATGCCCTATGGCTCACAGGGATGGGGCTTGAGGGCTAAGTAAACAGTGACACCCAAAGGAGAAGGGGGACAGGGAAGGACCAGAAAGCTCTACTCATTGTCTGTTAGTCCTCAAACTGAGGGAGACTTTGTTATCTGCACTTCACAGATGGGGACATTGAGACCTGGAAGGTCTCTGGACGTGACTGGTCCAGAGGCAGTCAAATGATGAGGGAGGACTGATGACCGCAAACCTCAGTCCTCCCTCAGGTGGGACAGGGTGAAGGAATGAGGTACAATGGGGTTTGGGACAGGCACCCACCTTGGCCATGTACTCAGTGACAATGTAGAGCCCGCCCTTCTCCTCCACGATCACACCCAGCAGCTGTACCAGGTTGCTATGCCGAAGTTGCCTGGGGCAGGATGGGATGTTCAGAACCTGCCCAACCTCCCTGCCCCTACAGGCCAACTCCTCACCACCCCTGCCCCAACTCACGTCATGACTGAGGCTTCAGCCAAGAAGGCCTGGGCTGTGGCGTCGTTTTTAATGCACTTGACGGCAACTTTGTTCCCTCGGTAATCACCCAACATTACGTCTGGGGAAAGAAGGGAGGGCTGTTTCCTGGATTCCCCGCAGCCCCTCAAGACCTTCCTGGGGCTCCCCCCGAAGCTCACCTCCAAATTCCCCCTTCCCGATGGTCTGCAGCAGTTTCAGTTCCTTCATGTTTAGCGCCCAGCCACCTGTGGAGGGTCAATGAGGGTGAGAGGCTGGCCAGGGTCATCCTTGGGATGACAGACATAGGATGGACTGTCTTGGATGTGATGTTCCTTGGGGTCTCTAAACCTCCAGGACAGGGGTGGGGCTGGGAGGCCTGGATGAGGGGAGTCGGGTGAGTGAGAGGCATGGGGTCGGAGTGTACTCACTGCGGTAGAACTCATCCTGGGCCGCCACTGTGCCCTCCATGACCTTTGGTTTGATGAGGCGAGTGCAGAGTCCATCAGCATCAGTGGTGTAGTGCTAAGGTGGAAGCAGGGCCCTCAGAGGCAGCCCATCCAGTCCCGCCTCCCAGCAGCTACAGCAGACGCATCACTCACGTCTGACCACTAGAGGACGGCAGAGGCTGGTCCTGCCCAGCCTGAGCTGCTTTGCATACGGAGGACTCCCCATTTCCGGCAGGGCAGGATGTCTGCCCATTTCCCATGCCACTCTATACCCAACTGCCAAACAGACACCCAGTTGTTGCTACCACTCTGGGCCTCACCAGCATCCTGAAGTAGAGGGCAAAGCCTGGCTTCATCCTGACACCAATGTCTGGTGTGCTCAGAACCTCTGCCCTCCCCTGCTAAAGGCCAAGCCAGGCCAACAGTAGAAAGGAAAGTGAGTCTGGAGGCATGTGGATGCCAGGTGTGGCCTGGCCAGAGTTGGCAGGGCTGGCCTTGGAAGCTTTAGGGATCTGTGGGTATGTAGCTCGAGCTCAAGTTTACATGTGCACATCTGGACACGTGCTTCTGTGACTGGCAGGAGAAAGTGAGCTTTGGGATCAACATGCAGGCAGATTCTAGTCTGGGCTTAAGTGCTCTGAACCTTTGTGTGCTGGGCTACAAATGGGGATGGTGCTGCCTTCCATGCAGGGGCAGAGATCAGCCCTGGCACACAGCCAGTGCTCCACTGAGGTGGGAGTGGAGTTACAATCGGGTTGGGTGCCAGCGTTCCCAGGTCTGTTCAGGAGCGTGGGGGGGGACAGGCCGCCTGCGGGAGCCCCTCCCCTCACCTCCACCAGCTGCATGAGGTTCTCAAAGTACACCTCCTCGTCGATGCTGAGCTTGCTGGCATGGTACATGATGCGGTAATGCTCCACCTTGCCCTCGCAGCTCACACACAGTGTGTAGTCCCCGGGGTAGTTGGTGCTCTCCCGCACCAGGAACAGGCCTGTCTCCGGTGGGTAAAGAAGCCGCTCGGCCTGCTCCCGTGTGATCTTGCCGTGGAACCAGCTGGATAGGGGAGGGGAGGCAGGGCCAAGGGTCATGGTGGCCTGAGAGTAGGAGCCTGGTGCCTCCCCCACCGTACTCTACTCAGTGTCTCCAGCTCCAGGCAATCAGGACTCTCCCGATTGCCGTCCCTTCTTCTTCCACACTCTCCCGGTGCCATGAGGGCCAGCTTCCACATCCTGTCCCACCCCAGGGAGCCGTCTTACTCTGGCGGCTGGCTGTGCTGTGCGGGAGGCCGGGCCCAGGCGGTACTCACGGCATCAGGCTGAGTTTGGTGCCCGCTTTTACGCCCTCTCGCTTCTGCACATAGTTGGCTGGGATGATGCCCTCTCGGCCCACCTTGTTCCGGGCTTTGTACCAGTTGGGGTCCTGCAAAGACCAGCCGGGCTGGACTCAGGCCACCCCTGCTGAAGCCCCAGAGCCAGGCTCTCGGTCTCAGGCCCGCCCCCTCTGCTGAACACCCAGGCAGAAGCCCCAGAGCAGGGACGGTAGGGCAGACGTCCAGGGTCCCCAAGTACCTTGGTGACTGCCACAATGGTGAGCACGTCTCCTTTGCAGAAGGGAAGGTCCTGCTCAGCGGTCCCATGGAAGTTGTACTTGGCAATACATTCTGTACCGGATGGCCAGGCGGCCTGCAGGGCAGGGGACAGGTGAATGGGTGTGGCCAGGGTCCCTTTCCACGCCCCTGACTGTACATCCTCCAGGTCACAGCCTCTTAGTGGGCTTCCATGAGGCTGGGTGAGGAGCCCCTCTCTGAGAACTCTGTGTCCCTTCCAGCTGAGATCCCCCAACTACATCAGGCCTGTGCTCCTGCTCTGTCTGACAAGCACACCGGAATTCTACTTTACTCAAAGTCTGGGCTGGAGCAGAGGCCTGGGAAAAAGGAACTATGCTGAACTAAGCCCCCATTCTCTCTTTCTGGGGGTGGTAGGAATGTGGAAACGACACACACTTTCTCTCGTACCTGTATTGCCGACATCTTCTCAGGAGATCTGGTGTCCCCGTGTTACAGGCAGGCCAACCTATCACTTGGTACCATTAGAGCTGTGGGGAGAAGGGTCAAGGCTGAGAAGGGCTGAGAAGAGAGTCCTACCCACTCAGTGGGACCAACTCCTTCCCCATGGGAGTGTGCACAGGTGTCAAGGCTTCCAAGAGCTAGGATGTGGGAACAGGACTGTTCTCTCTAGTCTTAGGCAGGAGAATAAAGGCTAAAGTCTCCCAGGGACTGAGACCTTTGTCTCCCAAGAGGATCAGAGGAAGCTTGGAGGATCAGCAATACCACAGCCACCTGCCATCAGTCCTGAGCTGGGTACAGCTATCTGGCCAGGCATGGAAGGGCCCAGGGCAGCTCTGTGAGACTGGGAAGGTGCTATGTGGCCTGGGAAGGTCACTTGTGCCCTGTAGGCCTCGCAGTTTCTCTATAAAAGCTTGCATCTCTAAAGCCAAAAACGTATAAGCCTACTTCTTGGTATACACCCAAGATAGAACAGAGCCCTGGTCCGCCAGGACAGGCCCAGGTGCCCTCACAGCAGCCCACTTTATAATACACCTCAGACTGGGAACTGCCCAAGTGTCTGAAACGGGAACAGTCTCAAAAGGGATGCTATATAGCAGTGAGCCCAATCCACTTCAGCTACAGAATGGCCCTGATGGCTTCCTCAACAGAGGAGCCAAGAAGCCAGGCACAGGAAGTCACACATTGTGATTCCATTTACATGAAGGTCAAAATTGGCCCAAAACAACCCACGATGTCAGGATGAAGCCCTGGGGAGGGGGGAGACTGGAAGGGGCGCAAGGGGACTCCGGGTGTTCCTTATGGGGACTGTCTAAGCCCATTTGCTTGATGGGATCACTGTGTGACAACTCTCTTGAAGCACCAGTGTGACTGGTGGGCTTCTTTGTGTGTGTGTACTTCAATAAAGGCAATTCCCCAAAGTGCTACCCTGGCCGAGCCCATGTACCCAAAGCAGCAGCCGGCTCTGTCTGTCTACAAATGCCAGAGCTCCCTCCAACACCTGGTCTTCTCAAACATGGCTCAGGGCCCCTTGGCCACCACTCAGGGAAAAAGTGAGGGACTAGGGCTACTGCTCCCTTTCTAGGTGGGGAAACTGAGTCTGAGACAAGGCCACAGGCCCCTCTGTGGTCACATGACATTAGAAGAGAGCCCCATGAGCTTTGTTGCCAGGCTCATCTGATGGGATGGATGAGATCTGGTGGCCAAACTGACGGTTACAAATATTATCACCTGTGGGAGAGGACATTTCAGTGCAGGTACAAGTATTGGTGAGTGTGCACACACGCCTGTACAGAGAGAGCAATGCAGCTGAGCCTCAAAGACTGGAGGTTTAGAAAAGAAAAGAAGAGGGTGAAGCCCCTATAATCCCAACACTCAGGAAGCTGAGGCAAGAGGCTCATGTGTTCAAGGCTACCTAGTGAGACCCTGTCTCAAAAAAAAAAAAAAAAAAAAAAAAAGAAATGAAGTGAGAGAGGGAGGGAGGGAGGGAGGAGAGAAAGAAAGAAGGAAGGAAGGGAGGTAAAGAGAGAAAGGAAGGAGGGAGGAAAAAACAAAGGAAAGAGAAAAAGAGCAAGAAGGAAGAAATGGAGAGAGAGAGAGAGAGAGAGAAAGGCAGGTGGGCAGTGGCGTCAGAGAAGGTTGGTGTGGCAGCAGAGCAGAGGTGTTGGGTAGAGACAGCTCCCCCCAGGAACTGATCTGGGGGAAGCTGATGGTAGGGGAAGGTGGACTCTGTGATTCCAGCTTCTAGAGCACATGCTAAGCCCCCTCAACTGTCTGCTATAGAGGACCGTTTCTGGTAGGCCAGGCATCAACCATGCAGGGCGGCAAGGGGCTTTGGCTGCCACTATGGGGAGCCAGAGTTAGACTGTGAAGTGAGGGGCCTGGGGAGCTTCAGCAGAGAGCAAGAGATCTTGGAGCCCAGCATGAGCTGGGGAGAAGGGAGGGGGCACACATGACCACCACTTCCAGGCTGACTCCTGGCTCTAACCAGACAGACCTGGACTTCGAACCTGCCTTTGCCAGTGTGCATCTCAGGGTGAACGACTTCAACCCTTCTGAGCCTCTCATCCCTGCCCTTGAAAGGTGGCACTACAACCTCCTTCAAGCAGGGTGTGTGTGGAGGGAGTTTTGGAATGAGACCCCCAAACTTGGAACTGCCTGGCAATTCCTCCCCTCCTCCAGGACCACACAGCCCTTTCTGCAATGAGAAGCCATTTCATTAAGCATCACTGTCTAGACAGGGTGCTGAGGCCCAGTGAAGAGCTGGGAACCCTACATACCCATATTTTTGTGACCAAGCCAGCATGAATATAAGAACCACTCCGTGGACCTATAGACTACGAGCTATGAGGAAGCTGTGAGCTCTCCTCACTCCCATTTTACAGATACAGAAACTGAGGCTCAACAGCTCAAACAACTCGCCTAAAGTCACACAGCCCAAGTTTGAGTGGGGGTTCCACTGTGGTTGGGTTGGCCCTCAAACTCCAGCCTAAAACTTCTAGCCTGAAGGCCCTGCCAGCTCACGTGGACATCCCATGTCCTCCATCCCCTTCCCAAACTCACTACCCCTTGCTGCCACTGCAGGAGGGCGCAGGGCTGCTGCACTGTTAGTCATCCCTCCAGCTGTCAGTCTGCAAACACTCCTTCCCGGCCTGCAGCTGCTGCTGCCACCTCCCCACTGCCATGATGATAATAATAAAAAATAACAGGCCCTGTTTTCTGAGCATTTATTTGGTGCCAGGCCCTGTCCTTGGCACATCATGGCACATCTAATCCTAACAACTCCAAGAGACAGGCTGTTATTACCCTCAGAGTGGCATGTGGCCTTGCCTGAGGTCACACCTCAAGTGAGCCTTGAGTCCCTCTCCAGTCAGATTCCTGAACTGTTCAGCAGACCTCCTGACCCACACAATGCCCCCAAGAGCTGCTGTCTGGCAGGCAAGGTGGGAGAGGAACAGCCATGAGGAGTACGGATGTAGTTAGAGAAAAAGGCAAGTCAGGAGTGATAGGGTGGACTCTGAAAGTCACAGAAGGACCTGGAAGGTGCCCATGCCTGGTGGGCCTTTGGGACCTGGTTTCCTTATCCTCACAACTGTTCACTGAGAATCCTGTAGCTCCGAGGGCTTCTCTGAGGATGGCTCAGTAGCCTCTGTGCAGGCTGGGGTACCTCCTCAGGCACCCCTAGGTGAGGCCCTCCCCAGCCCGGTCTGAGGCTGAGAGCCAGAGTGGCTTTGAGAGGCTGTGTTCTGCAAATTGGCTTCAACAAGCTAGCCAGGATCCTTTGCCATGTCATCTCAACTTTAGACTAAAACAGTCTGTGCAATCATTGTGCAGGAACACTGTCCTAGGAGTCAAGAGGTTCTGAGTCCTGGACCTGACTGCCACCAATTTTCTGTGTGACCTGGGGAAAGTCACTAGAGCTTTCTGGGACTTGCTGGATTCCAGCACCCTTACTTCCCACCCACTTTTCCCCAACACTTGCACCCTGCCCACCTCCCTCTCCATTCATCCCAGGAACTTCCACAACCTTTGAAGTGCAGCTGGGGATGCTTTCTTTTGCCCAGACTTTTTTTAAAAATGCAATTGAGTCAAACCCCAGTACTGGAGAAAAAAAAAAAGCAATAGGAAAGTTCCTTCAGTACTGCTCGTAGGAGCAAGAGATGGGGAGACAGCCTTTATGTCCATTAATGGGGGAATGGCCAAACAAATTGCCAGAGAGCTAAAAAAACAGTACAGCTCAGGAGGAGGGGCCGGAACAGACCTCTTTTTGAGAACCTGGAACATTCCCCATGATACAGTAAGTGAAATGGTTTCCAGCTCAAGTCATTGAAGGAAAGCTGCTGCTGGGCTGGTAGAGTGGTTCAAGTGGTAGAGCGCCTGCCTAGCAAATATGAGGCCCTGCGTTCAAACCTCAGTACTGCCAAAAAAAAAAGAAGAAGAAAGCAAGCTGCTGGTGGAATAGAACAGGAACACAAGCAGGGCACAGTGGCACATCCTCCAATCTTAGCACTCAGGAGGCTGAGGCAGGAGGATGATAAGTTTGAGGCCAGTCTGGGCTACACAGTGAAACCCTGTCTCAAACAAGGGATCGGGGTAGGGTGGGGTGGGTAGGAGGTTGGGTGTTGGGGCTCACACCAACTATGCAAGCAGGAGGAGTGAGGTCTGAGGCCACCCCAGGCAAAGTTAGAGACCCTACCTGAAAAAGAAACTTGGACTTGGGAGTGTGGTTGTTGGTAGAGCACTTGCCAAGCAAATGTGAGGCAGAATTCAATCCCCAGTACCACCAAAAAAACAAAACAAAAAGAGATACAATTTCTAAGCCACAATGCCACAGATTAACTACAGAGAGCAAAAGCACTGTGCAGCAGGGAGACCCTTACCAAGGGACATCTTAACCAAGTGACGAAGTTCTTGCAATAAGGAGACTAGGAGACATTCCTACAGTAATGCAGTCTGTCTCACCTGTGTGTCACTCCTGCCAGCACTGTTTAACCTGACTCCAATCAGGGAAAGTATCAAATTCCAAATAAATGAAGGTCAATGTCATAAAAGACTTTAAAAAATGAAAAAAAAAAAAAAAGGCTGGAGAATTTTCTAGATTTCATTGGACACTAATGAAACATGACAAGATTTGATGATTCTGAACTGGATTCTGGATGGGGACTCATTTGGGGACAACTGAGGAAGTGGGAAGGATAACAGGGAATTAACGTCAACGCTCTTGAGACACTTGGGGCCTAAACTCAGGGCTTCATGCCTGGGAGGCAGGTGCTCTACCACTCGAGCCACGCCTCTAGCCTTTAGTTATTTTAAAGATGGGGCTTTGCTTCATGCCAGGCCAGCTTAGACCATGATCCTCCTATTATGCTTCCCGCCGTAGCTGGGATGACAGGCTCCATAACTGTGCCCAGCCCCTTTTAATTTTTTTTTTTTTTTGAGACAGGCCACTGTGTTGCCAAGGCTGGGCTCAAGTGGTCTCCCGGTCCCAGCCTCCTGAGTAGCTGGGGAAGTTTTGCAAATGATGTCAGTG